TGCCGCCGCCGCTGCTGCTGCTGCCACTACTGTTGCTCATACCCCCTACCCCAGTGCTAGCAACACCAGATTCTCCTAGCCCACCTCTTAATCCTCCTTCCTCAGCCGCTCCCCTCACCTCCCCTCGGAGCATGCCCCCTTCGGACTGGGGAGAGACAGCAGGGCCAAAGGCAGCAGGGCCTAGTGATGACTGGATGCTGGCACTGGTGGTGGTGGTGGAGGGGGGAGTGATGAGAGGGAGAGAGGAGGGGGAGGGATGATAAGTGGATGCTTGCGCTGCCAGCCGCTCCCCTCACCTCCCCTCGGAGCATGCCCCCTTCGGACTGGGGAGAGACAGCAGGGCCAAAGGCAGCAGGGCCTAGTGATGACTGGATGATTGCACTGGTGGTGGTGGTGGAGGGGGGAGTGATGAGAGGGAGAGAGGAGGGGGAGGGATGATAAGTGGATGCTTGCGCTGCCAGCCGCTCCCCTCACCTCCCCTCGGAGCATGCCCCCTTCGGACTGGGGAGAGACAGCAGGGCCAAAGGCAGCAGGGCCTAGTGATGACTGGATGATTGCACTGGTGGTGGTGGTGGAGGGGGGAGTGATGAGAGGGAGAGAGGAGGGGGAGGGATGATAAGTGGATGCTTGCGCTGCCAGCCGCTCCCCTCACCTCCCCTCGGAGCATGCCCCCTTCGGACTGGGGAGAGACAGCAGGGCCAAAGGCAGCAGGGCCTAGTGATGACTGGATGCTGGCACTGGTGGTGGTGGTGGAGGGGGGAGTGATGAGAGGGAGAGAGGAGGGGGAGGGATGATAAGTGGATGCTTGCAGTGGTGGGCGGGGAGAAGAGAAACGAAGGGTAGAGAGGAGTGGGGGAGGGGCGTGATAAATATGTGGGCAGGTCCCAGGGATGACTGGATGCATGTACTGATGACCGGATAAAATAGGAAGGAAGGGGAACGATGAGGAGAGAGGAAGGGGAGTGGGAGGAGAGATGAGGGGGAGAGGAAGGAGAGGGGGAGGAGCAACGTGCGCGCGCTTCAGCGTGTGCGGAGAGGGAGGAGCGACGAAGGGGAGATGATGGGGAGAGAGGCCTACGGAAGAGGTGGAAGGGTTCTGGTGTGTGGAGATCACTTTGAGAATTCTCAAAAGTGAAAGAGGTGGAAGGGTTCTGGTTTGTGGAAATCACTTTGAGAATTCTCAAAAGTGAAAGAGGTGGAAGGGTTCTGGTGTGTGGAAATCACTTTGAGAATTCTCAAAAGTGAAAGAGGTGGAAGGGTTCTGGTGTGTGGAGATCACTTTGAGAATTCTCAAAAGTGAAAGAGGTGGAAGGGTTCTGGTGTGACTGATTCCTTAAACTGAGGGGGGAGCGATGAGGGAGAGAGAGGAGGGAGAGAGGAAGGGGAGAGGGGGGAGTGATGGGAAGAGAGAGGAGAGGAGGGAGAGAGGAGGGAGAGAGGAGGGAGAGAAAAGGGAGAGGGGAGGGAGAGAGGAGAGGGAAGGGAAGAGGAGCAGTGATGAGGAGAAGAGTTGAAAGGGACAGGGGTCTCAGAGTAAGGGGAGAGAGAAGCTCACTCACAGCAGCATAGAGCGATAGGGGGAGGGGGCTGGGTTGGGGCAGCCGTGGATGGCATGATGGATAATAAGACCCTCGTTGATTGTGTTGATACACTCTATACTCAATAGAAGCCCCCGCTTCTTCTCTTTGTCGCGCTCTATGATCTGCATATGAGGTCTCAGATTAGAACAGGGGACAGAGAATGGGGAGGAAAAGGGACACTTGTGGGGACGGGGCAGCGGGGAGACACATGAAGAAGCACTTACGGTAGCTTGATGTGTAGCTTGATGTGTAGCTTGATGTGTAGCTTGATGATCAAACACATGGTAGTTTTCCTTCTGTTCACTCTAAGAGCTTAATATGTTGTGTGGATGTTGCTACCTGCTTCACAATTTTCACCTACCTTTTTTGCGCCGAGCCTGCCTGAATGTTCAGAACAGGAGTAAAAACACAAGTGAAGTATTTGCCCCAAGAGTTTCCAGTATTGGAACGGAAACAAGAGTTCACCTCACCACGCCGAACGTGGCTTATCCCATTCCAATATTGTAAACTCTTGTTCAGAGTATGAGTCAAGAGTATGTATGAGCATCGAGTCAAGACGTGTGTGATAAGTAGATTTTTGAGTCGACTAAAAAGTCGATTTATCACACACGGCTTGTTGAGAGTATGAGTCAAGAGTACGAGCAGCGAGTCGAGCTGCAGCGCAATGCCTCACCTCACAAGGAACGGCGGAGGATCAAACAATGGCCATCCTTCCGATGCTGCGACTTCCCAAAGCTTCTCAATGCCTTACCTCAGAGGGGAACGGCGGAGAATCAAACAGGCGGCTGCACTCATTCACAATCCTGTCTGTCCAATGCTGCGACTTCCCAAAGCTCCAGTTGCCAACGCGTATTCTCTTTCTCATGCATCCTCGAGCATCACTCGATGTCTCACCTCAGAGGGGAATGGAGGAGAATCAAACAGCCGGTTGCACTCATTCACAATCCTGTCCGTCCTCTGCAGGGTTTCTTTGAGAATTCTAAAAAAGGCCGGTTGCACTCATTCACATTCTCATTCACTCTAGTCCGTCCGATGCCAGCTGCAACTTTCCAAACCTCGAGTTCCAATTTGGTGACTCTGTCTCACACATCCCCAAACAGTTTGTTGCACTCCTTCACAATCTTATCCATCCGATGCTGCGCCTTGCCGAAACTCCAGTTGCTCACTTGGTGTCTCACCTCAGAAGGGAATGGCGGCGGGTCGAACAGTTTGTTGCACTCATTCACAATCTTATCCATCCGGTGCTGCGCCTTGCCAAAGCTCCAGTTGCCCACGGAGAAGGCGAGCCCGTAGTGCAGCAGGCGCGGCTGCACGCCTCGCGGGGGGTCGTAGCCCGGATAGAGCATCGTGGTGTGGTCTACCTGGTGGTGTAGGCCGGCCTGTTGGGAGGAATGAAGAGGTGGAGAATTGGAACGGTGGGAAACGGTAACAGTAAGAGGTGGGGGGTGAAAGCCTGACTTTCCAAAGCTCCTCCAGTTGCCGACGGCGAATGCGAGCCCGTGGTGCAGCAGGGGTGGTGGGGTGGGAGAAAGGGAATCAGCCTGAGGTGCAGCAGGCGCGGCTGCACGCCTCGCGGGGGGTCGTATCCCGGGTAGGACATGGTGGTGTGGTCCACTTGGTGGTGTGGTCCACTTGGTGGTGTAATCCGGCCCGTTAGTGGGTGGTGAGTGGGGGTGGCATGGTGGGGGGCGGTGGGGGAGAGGTGTGTATACGAGGGAAGAGAAGGAGGAGGGCGGGTGGGGGATGGGGGAAGCAGTGCATGGGGTTGCGAGTGCTCACACCAGCAGCACAAACAAGTAGCCGCACATTTCACTGATCCATTCTGCATCTCCTACTGAGCACAATAGGGTGCATTCCCTAGCATGCCATGCCATGCCATGCCATGCTATGCCATGCCATGCCATGCCATGCCATGCCATGCTATGCCATGCCATGCCATGCCATGCCATGCCATGCCATGCCGTGCCATGCCATGCCATGCCATGCCATGCCATGCCATGCCATGCCATGCCATGCCATGCCATGCCATGCCATGCCATGCCATGCCATGCCATGCCATGCTATGCCATGCCATGCCATGCCATGCTATGCCATGCCATGCCATGCCATGCTATGCCATGCCATGCCATGCCATGCCATGCCATGCTATGCCATGCCATGCCATGCTATGCCATGCCATGCCATGCCATGCTATGCCATGCCATGCCATGCCATGCCATGCCATGCCATGCCATGCGATGCCTTGCCCCACACTCACATCAGCAGCACCAAACGAATGGCCGCACGCTTCACTGATCCACTCTGCATCTCCTACTGAGCACCGTAGGGTACCCTCCCTAGCATGCCATGCCATCACACGCCATACCAAGCCCTGCCATGCCATGCCCTGCCATGCCATGCCATGCCATGCCATGCCATACCATCCCATGCCTTGCCCCACACTCACATCAGCAGCACCGAACGAGTAGCCGTACATCTTGCTGATCCACCCAGACGAGTACACGTCTTATTTGCTGGCACCACATGGTACCATAGCATCAGCATCACCACACACACGCCACACTCACATCAGCAGCACCAAACGAGTAGCCATATATCTCTCTGATCCACCCCGACGAGTACACGTCTCCTCGTGGCACTGCCAGTGTGCTGCCTTCCTTCCCCTTTGTTCCTACCATAAGCTAAGTAACGCGTTTACACTTGGTAACAATCATAAGCGTAAGTATCGCACTTACTCTTTCTTCCATCATAAGAGTAAGTAACGCACTTACACTTAGTACCAATCATAAGTGTAAGTAGCGACCTTACTCTTGGTACCTACTATAAACGTAAGTAACGCACTTACACCCAATATCAATCTTTACTGTAAGTAGCGCGCGCTAACCCTTAACACCTGCCATAAGCATAAGTAACGCACTTACACTTAGCACCAATCATAAGTGTAAATATCACACTTACTCTTTGTTTCAACCATAAGCATAAGTAGTGCACTTACTCTTAGTACCAATCATAAATGTAAATTTCGCACTGATTCTTAGCTGCAACCATAAGGATAAGTAACACACTTAGTTCCAATCATGAGTGTAAACATCGCACTTACTCTTTCTAGCAACCATAACGGTAAGTAACGCACTTACATCTTATTCCAATTATAAGTGTAAGGCGCTTACCTTAATACCTACCATAAGCGTAGGTAACGCACGTACACTTGGTACCAGTCATAGTGCAAGTACCGTACTTACTCTTTGTTGCAACCATAAGCGTAAGTAACGCACTCAAACTTAGTACTAATCATAAGTGTAAGTATCGCACTCTTTTCTCCAACCATAAGGGTAAGTAACGCACGTACACCTAGTACCCTCATAAGTGTAAGCATTACACTTTCTTTGTTCCAACCATAAGCGCAAATAACGCACTTACATCAGCAGTGCCAAACGAGTAGCCATACATCTCGCTGATCCACCCCGATGAATACACGTCCCCTGTGATGTTCCTCGCGTAGTGTGCCTTGTCTGCCCGCACCTGAGGGGGTGGAGAGGAGCAAACAAGAAGGAGAGAGATGCTTGTGAGTCGACTCAAAGTCACCACGACGAGTACACGTCTCCTGTGATGTTCCTCGCGTAGTGTGCCTTGTCTGCTCGCACCTGAAGTGGGTGGAAAGGAGCAAACAGGAAGACAGGAGGCGAAACTCAACCAGCGGCGGATGTATGTAACTCAGACAGACACCTGCCACTGACCGTGACGTGGCACATCAGAGTCAACATTCACACCAGAGTAAACCCTGACATCAGAGTCAACCCTGACATAAAAGTAAACCTTGACATTAGATTCAACCTCGACATCGGAGTCAACCTTAACATCAGAGCCAATTTTGACATCAGAGCCAATTTTCACATCAGAGTCAATTTTGACGTCACAGTAGACCTTGACATCAAAGCTGACCTTGCTTTGCCCTGCCGTCACAGTAGACCTTCACATCAAAGCTGTTGGCCTGCCTTGCCTTGCCTTGCCTTGCCTTGCCTTGCCTTGCCATCACACAAGCCCCCGCGCCCGCCCCCCTTTTCAAAACGCACCTCCTGTGCCTTGTTGAGCCATAGTGGGGCGAAGCGGCGGAGGTCGTCAATGTGCATGACGGCGGATGAAGCCGCCCGCTTTGGGGCACGTCCACTCACCCACCCATCCAACCATTCAGGGCTGACAAAGCTGTGAGAGCTTAGGGACACACCCAGCCAGTCACGGTTGACAATGCCTCCACTCTGCATTACAGCCGACCTTGCTTGGCCTTGCCTTGCCCATCACATCACCAGCGGGCTCCCCAAAACGCACCTCCTGTGCCTTGCTGAGCCATAGCAGGGCGAAGCGGCGCAGGTCGTCAATATGCATGACGATGAATCCGCCCACTTTGGTGGCTCTGTCCCAAAGTGCGCCCACAGAGCCACCCAGTCCCAGTTGACAATGCCATTACACGCGAGCTGACCTTGCCAGGTGACTTTTGAGTCGACTCAAAAGTCACAGAGCCACCCAGTCCCAGTTGACAATGCCATTACACGCGAGCTGACCTTGCCAGGTGACTTTTGAGTCGACTCAAAAGTCACAGAGCCACCCAGTCCCAGTTGACAATGCCATTACACGCGAGCTGACCTTGCCAGGTGACTTTTGAGTCGACTCAAAAGTCACAGAGCCACCCAGTCCCAGTTGACAATGCCATTACACGCGAGCTGACCTTGCCAGGTGACTTTTGAGTCGACTCAAAAGTCACAGAGCCACCCAGTCCCAGTTGACAATGCCATTACACGCGAGCTGACCTTGCCAGGTGACTTTTGAGTCGACTCAAAAGTCACAGAGCCACCCAGTCCCAGTTGACAATGCCATTACACGCGAGCTGACCTTGCCAGGTGACTTTTGAGTCGACTCAAAAGTCACAGAGCCACCCAGTCCCAGTTGACAATGCCATTACACGCGAGCTGACCTTGCCAGGTGACTTTTGAGTCGACTCAAAAGTCACAGAGCCACCCAGTCCCAGTTGACAATGCCATTACATGCGAGCTGACCTTGCCAGGTGACTTTTGAGTCGACTCAAAAGTCACAGAGCCACCCAGTCCCAGTTGACAATGCCATTACATGCGAGCTGACCTTGCCAGGTGACTTTTGAGTCGACTCAAAAGTCACAGAGCCACCCAGTCCCAGTTGACAATGCCATTACATGCGAGCTGACCTTGCCAGGTGACTTTTGAGTCGACTCAAAAGTCACAGAGCCACCCAGTCCCAGTTGACAATGCCATTACATGCGAGCTGACCTTGCCAGGTGACTTTTGAGTCGACTCAAAAGTCACAGAGCCACCCAGTCCCAGTTGACAATGCCATTACACGCGAGCTGACCTTGCCAGGTGACTTTTGAGTCGACTCAAAAGTCACAGAGCCACCCAGTCCCAGTTGACAATGCCATTACACGCGAGCTGACCTTGCCAGGTGACTTTTGAGTCGACTCAAAAGTCACAGAGCCACCCAGTCCCAGTTGACAATGCCATTACACGCGAGCTGACCTTGTCAGGTGACTTTTGAGTCGACTCAAAAGTCACAGAGCCACCCAGTCCCAGTTGACAATGCCATTACATGCGAGCTGACCTTGCCAGGTGACTTTTGAGTCGACTCAAAAGTCACAGAGCCACCCAGTCCCAGTTGACAATGCCATTACACGCGAGCTGACCTTGCCAGGTGACTTTTGAGTCGACTCAAAAGTCACAGAGCCACCCAGTCCCAGTTGACAATGCCATTACACGCGAGCTGACCTTGCCAGGTGACTTTTGAGTCGACTCAAAAGTCACAGAGCCACCCAGTCCCAGTTGACAATGCCATTACACGCGAGCTGACCTTGCCAGGTGACTTTTGAGTCGACTCAAAAGTCACAGAGCCACCCAGTCCCAGTTGACAATGCCATTACACGCGAGCTGACCTTGCCAGGTGACTTTTGAGTCGACTCAAAAGTCACAGAGCCACCCAGTCCCAGTTGACAATGCCATTACACGCGAGCTGACCTTGCCAGGTGACTTTTGAGTCGACTCAAAAGTCACAGAGCCACCCAGTCCCAGTTGACAATGCCATTACATGCGAGCTGACCTTGCCAGGTGACTTTTGAGTCGACTCAAAAGTCACAGAGCCACCCAGTCCCAGTTGACAATGCCATTACACGCGAGCTGACCTTGCCAGGTGACTTTTGAGTCGACTCAAAAGTCACAGAGCCACCCAGTCCCAGTTGACAATGCCATTACATGCGAGCTGACCTTGCCAGGTGACTTTTGAGTCGACTCAAAAGTCACAGAGCCACCCAGTCCCAGTTGACAATGCCATTACACGCGAGCTGACCTTGCCAGGTGACTTTTGAGTCGACTCAAAAGTCACAGAGCCACCCAGTCCCAGTTGACAATGCCATTACATGCGAGCTGACCTTGCCAGGTGACTTTTGAGTCGACTCAAAAGTCACAGAGCCACCCAGTCCCAGTTGACAATGCCATTACATGCGAGCTGACCTTGCCAGGTGACTTTTGAGTCGACTCAAAAGTCACAGAGCCACCCAGTCCCAGTTGACAATGCCATTACATGCGAGCTGACCTTGCCAGGTGACTTTTGAGTCGACTCAAAAGTCACAGAGCCACCCAGTCCCAGTTGACAATGCCATTACACGCGAGCTGACCTTGCCAGGTGACTTTTGAGTCGACTCAAAAGTCACAGAGCCACCCAGTCCCAGTTGACAATGCCATTACATGCGAGCTGACCTTGCCAGGTGACTTTTGAGTCGACTCAAAAGTCACAGAGCCACCCAGTCCCAGTTGACAATGCCATTACATGCGAGCTGACCTTGCCAGGTGACTTTTGAGTCGACTCAAAAGTCACAGAGCCACCCAGTCCCAGTTGACAATGCCATTACATGCGAGCTGACCTTGCCAGGTGACTTTTGAGTCGACTCAAAAGTCACAGAGCCACCCAGTCCCAGTTGACAATGCCATTACATGCGAGCTGACCTTGCCAGGTGACTTTTGAGTCGACTCAAAAGTCACAGAGCCACCCAGTCCCAGTTGACAATGCCATTACATGCGAGCTGACCTTGCCAGGTGACTTTTGAGTCGACTCAAAAGTCACAGAGCCACCCAGTCCCAGTTGACAATGCCATTACATGCGAGCTGACCTTGCCAGGTGACTTTTGAGTCGACTCAAAAGTCACAGAGCCACCCAGTCCCAGTTGACAATGCCATTACATGCGAGCTGACCTTGCCAGGTGACTTTTGAGTCGACTCAAAAGTCACAGAGCCACCCAGTCCCAGTTGACAATGCCATTACACGCGAGCTGACCTTGCCAGGTGACTTTTGAGTCGACTCAAAAGTCACAGAGCCACCCAGTCCCAGTTGACAATGCCATTACACGCGAGCTGACCTTGCCAGGTGACTTTTGAGTCGACTCAAAAGTCACAGAGCCACCCAGTCCCAGTTGACAATGCCATTACACGCGAGCTGACCTTGCCAGGTGACTTTTGAGTCGACTCAAAAGTCACAGAGCCACCCAGTCCCAGTTGACAATGCCATTACATGCGAGCTGACCTTGCCAGGTGACTTTTGAGTCGACTCAAAAGTCACAGAGCCACCCAGTCCCAGTTGACAATGCCATTACACGCGAGCTGACCTTGCCAGGTGACTTTTGAGTCGACTCAAAAGTCACAGAGCCACCCAGTCCCAGTTGACAATGCCATTACACGCGAGCTGACCTTGCCAGGTGACTATTGAGTCGACTCAAAAGTCACAGAGCCACCCAGTCCCAGTTGACAATGCCATTACACGCGAGCTGACCTTGCCAGGTGACTTTTGAGTCGACTCAAAAGTCACAGAGCCACCCAGTCCCAGTTGACAATGCCATTACATGCGAGCTGACCTTGCCAGGTGACTTTTGAGTCGACTCAAAAGTCACAGAGCCACCCAGTCCCAGTTGACAATGCCATTACACGCGAGCTGACCTTGCCAGGTGACTTTTGAGTCGACTCAAAAGTCACAGAGCCACCCAGTCCCAGTTGACAATGCCATTACATGCGAGCTGACCTTGCCAGGTGACTTTTGAGTCGACTCAAAAGTCACAGAGCCACCCAGTCCCAGTTGACAATGCCATTACACGCGAGCTGACCTTGCCAGGTGACTTTTGAGTCGACTCAAAAGTCACAGAGCCACCCAGTCCCAGTTGACAATGCCATTACATGCGAGCTGACCTTGCCAGGTGACTTTTGAGTCGACTCAAAATTCACAGAGCCACCCAGTCCCAGTTGACAATGCCATTACACGCGAGCTGACCTTGCCAGGTGACTTTTGAGTCGACTCAAAAGTCACAGAGCCACCCAGTCCCAGTTGACAATGCCATTACATGCGAGCTGACCTTGCCAGGTGACTTTTGAGTCGACTCAAAAGTCACAGAGCCACCCAGTCCCAGTTGACAATGCCATTACATGCGAGCTGACCTTGCCAGGTGACTTTTGAGTCGACTCAAAAGTCACAGAGCCACCCAGTCCCAGTTGACAATGCCATTACATGCGAGCTGACCTTGCCAGGTGACTTTTGAGTCGACTCAAAAGTCACAGAGCCACCCAGTCCCAGTTGACAATGCCATTACACGCGAGCTGACCTTGCCAGGTGACTTTTGAGTCGACTCAAAAGTCACAGAGCCACCCAGTCCCAGTTGACAATGCCATTACATGCGAGCTGACCTTGCCAGGTGACTTTTGAGTCGACTCAAAAGTCACAGAGCCACCCAGTCCCAGTTGACAATGCCATTACATGCGAGCTGACCTTGCCAGGTGACTTTTGAGTCGACTCAAAAGTCACAGAGCCACCCAGTCCCAGTTGACAATGCCATTACATGCGAGCTGACCTTGCCAGGTGACTTTTGAGTCGACTCAAAAGTCACAGAGCCACCCAGTCCCAGTTGACAATGCCATTACACGCGAGCTGACCTTGCCAGGTGACTTTTGAGTCGACTCAAAAGTCACAGAGCCACCCAGTCCCAGTTGACAATGCCATTACATGCGAGCTGACCTTGCCAGGTGACTTTTGAGTCGACTCAAAAGTCACAGAGCCACCCAGTCCCAGTTGACAATGCCATTACATGCGAGCTGACCTTGCCAGGTGACTTTTGAGTCGACTCAAAAGTCACAGAGCCACCCAGTCCCAGTTGACAATGCCATTACATGCGAGCTGACCTTGCCAGGTGACTTTTGAGTCGACTCAAAAGTCACAGAGCCACCCAGTCCCAGTTGACAATGCCATTACACGCGAGCTGACCTTGCCAGGTGACTTTTGAGTCGACTCAAAAGTCACAGAGCCACCCAGTCCCAGTTGACAATGCCATTACACGCGAGCTGACCTTGCCAGGTGACTTTTGAGTCGACTCAAAAGTCACAGAGCCACCCAGTCCCAGTTGACAATGCCATTACACGCGAGCTGACCTTGCCAGGTGACTTTTGAGTCGACTCAAAAGTCACAGAGCCACCCAGTCCCAGTTGACAATGCCATTACATGCGAGCTGACCTTGCCAGGTGACTTTTGAGTCGACTCAAAAGTCACAGAGCCACCCAGTCCCAGTTGACAATGCCATTACATGCGAGCTGACCTTGCCAGGTGACTTTTGAGTCGACTCAAAAGTCACAGAGCCACCCAGTCCCAGTTGACAATGCCATTACATGCGAGCTGACCTTGCCAGGTGACTTTTGAGTCGACTCAAAAGTCACAGAGCCACCCAGTCCCAGTTGACAATGCCATTACATGCGAGCTGACCTTGCCAGGTGACTTTTGAGTCGACTCAAAAGTCACAGAGCCACCCAGTCCCAGTTGACAATGCCATTACATGCGAGCTGACCTTGCCAGGTGACTTTTGAGTCGACTCAAAAGTCACAGAGCCACCCAGTCCCAGTTGACAATGCCATTACACGCGAGCTGACCTTGCCAGGTGACTTTTGAGTCGACTCAAAAGTCACAGAGCCACCCAGTCCCAGTTGACAATGCCATTACATGCGAGCTGACCTTGCCAGGTGACTTTTGAGTCGACTCAAAAGTCACAGAGCCACCCAGTCCCAGTTGACAATGCCATTACATGCGAGCTGACCTTGCCAGGTGACTTTTGAGTTGACTCAAAAGTCACAGAGCCACCCAGTCCCAGTTGACAATGCCATTACATGCGAGCTGACCTTGCCTTGGCTTGTTGTCACACCAGCCGCCCTTCCCAGAACGCTGGGCCAGAGGGGCGTGAAGTGGTGCAGGTTGTCAATGTGCATGACGATGGATGAAGCTGCCCACTTTGGGGCACGGCCAGTCACTTAAGGGTGGCAATGCCACCAGAACTCACCTTGCTTTGCCTTGGGACTCCCTTTGGCTCACATCACCATCCCCCCAAAGCGCACCTCCTCTGTCTTATTGAGCCACAGCGGCGCGAAGCGGCGCAGGTCATCAATGTGCATGACGATAAAACCGCCCACTTTGGGACACAGCTCAGGGTGCTTGGTGTGCAGCTTAGCTAAGATGTTGTCACAGCCGATCAAATAGCTGGGGTAAGGGAGAGACAGGAGTGGAAGGGAGGAAAAGGGGAAACACAGAGGAGGAGGGGGGAACATTTTGGGGCACAGCCCAGGGTGCTTGGTGTGTAGCTTAGCTAAGATGTTGTCACAGCTGATCAAATAGCTGGGGGAGGAAGGGAGTGGGGGGAAAAGACGCAGCGTCCCCCGAGCGTCTTTCTCAACTAAGGGGGGAAGAGAGCAAGGACAAGACACAATGAAGTAAGCCACATTGCGGCATGGTGATAATGCTTGGGGTGCTTGGAGTGCAGCTGGGCCAGTATGTTGCCACAGCCGAATCACACGTACAGGCATGTCACAGTACCATGCTGCTCCTCCATTCCTGCCCCACACACACGTACCCGTAATAGGCGGCCACTGGCTTGCCTTTCTGCGCCTTGACGCCCCATGGGGTGACTAGAATAACCATGCCAGCATCTAGAATAGAATCATCACGCACTCCACCTGCTGTGCTTGAGCACACACCCACCACACCACACCAAACCACACCACACCACACCACACCACACCACACCACACCGCACCGCACCGCACTGCACAGCACCGCACCACACCACACCGCACCCCACACCACACCACACCACACTGCACCGCACCGCACCACACCACACTGCATGCACACCACACCACACCACACCACACCACACTGCACCGCACCGCACCACACCACACTGCACCACACCACACCACACCACACCGCACCGCACCGTACCGCACTGCACAGCACAGCACCACACCACACCGCACCCCACACCACACTGCACCGCACTGCACCACACCACACTGCATGCACACCACACCACACCACACCACACCGCACCGCACCACACCACACCACACCACACCGCACCGCACCGCACTGCACAGCACCGCACCACACCACACCGCACCCCACACCACACTGCACCGCACCGCACCACACCACACTGCACGCACACCACACCGCACCACACCACACCACACCACTCCACCTACCCATAGTAAGCGGCCACTGGCCTGCCCTTTGCCGCCTTGACGCCCCACGGGGTGACGGGCGCCCTGATAATCATGTCCGCGTCAAGAATCACCACCCACTCCACCTGCTGCGCCTGCGGGCTGTGGTGCACCCAGTGCCACACGCCGTACGGCTTGTTTATTGCTGGATACCTGCAGGGAGGAGAGGGAGGAAGGGAGGGGAGAAGAAAGAAGTGAGAGACAGCAAGCCAAACATTGGAATTCAGAATAACCACCCACTTGTTTGTTGTGCCTGCAGGCTGTGGTGCACCCAGTGCCACACGCCGTACGGCTTGTTTATTGCTGGATACCTGCAGGGGGGTGAGGGAGGGGAGGGGATGGGATGGGAGGAAGAAGGGGAGGGGAAGACACGTTGGGGCAAGGTGCACGTTGTGGGGTAATCCCTCAGCTGCTGGGCCGTGAGTCTCAGGATGACACAACCTGAAGAGTCAAGTCACACACAGCAAGGCCATACAGCAACCCCACAAAGAGCACAGCCGGCCTACCAGTCGCCGGTCCTGTAGTTGATGCTCATAGAGGGCACAGTGTGCGTGGGGGCGGGGTCCATGTTGGGTTGGGGTATCCCCCCTCAGCTGCTGTACCGTGAGAGGAGACTCGGTTTCAAGCCAAACGACAAGCAGAAGAACAAGCAAGCCAAGCCCCACACAGCCTACCGCTCGCCTTTTGAGGCGCCTCAAAGGTCAAGCCCCCCCACATGGCCTACCAGTCTCCGGTCCTGTAGTTGATGCTCATAGAGGGCACAGTGTGCGTGGGAGCGAGGTCCATGTTGGGATAATCCTTTAGCTGCTCCTCCGTGCAGCTCAAGAGTCTGGTGATGGGACCTGGTTGCTTGCTGCGCCTGGAGAGGGAGAAGCATGGGAGGGGTGGGCAGACATGAGACACGCGAGTGGAAGCACGTGGAGTGAGTGAGTGTGTGGGAGCGAGGTCCATGTTTAGGTAGTCATTCAGCTGCTCCTCTGTGCAGCTGAGAAGGCGAGTGATGGGTCCCGGCTGCTTGCTGCGCCTGGGGAAGGGAAGGTGGCAGGCAGGCAGGCAGACGCAAATAGGACGAATCAAATGGCAGCACATGTGAGTGGAAGCACGTGGGAGAGATGACGGTGTGTGTGGGAGAGAGGTCCATGTTGGGGTAATCCTTTAGCTGCTCCCCGTTGCAGCTGAGGAGTCGAGTAATGGGACCTGATTGCTTGCTGCGCCTGCAGTAGGGGGAGCAGAGGGGCAGGCAGGCAGGCACGGGACATGGTGAGTGGGGAGCATGTGTGTGGGATGACTGTGGTCATGGGAGCGAGGTCCATGTTGGGGTACTCCCTCAACTGCTCCTCCGTGCAGCTCAGGAGGCGAGTGATGGGGCCCGGCTGCTTGATGCGCCTGGAGAGGGAGACGCAGGGGAGGGGTGGACGGACATGAGTCATGCGAGTGGAAGCACGTGGAGGGGTGAGGTGAGAGTGTGGGAGCGAGGCCCATGTTGGAGTAGTGCCGCAGCTTAGCTGCTCCTCCGTGCAGCTCAGAAGCCGAGTGAAAGGGCATGGATGCTTGCTGTGCCTGGGCCTGGCTGCTTGCTGTGTTTTGAGTCGACACAAAACACACCCGAGTGATGGGGTTTGGCTGCTTGCTAGGTGTGTTTTGAGTCGACTCAAAACACAGCCAAGTGATGGGCCTGGCTACATGCTGCACCCAAGAATTGGGACCTGGCTACTTGCTGCGCCTGGAGTAGGGGGAGCAGCAAGGCAGGCAGACATGGGACATGTGAGCGGAAGCATGTGCTGTCAGAATCTCAGCCATTAACCACTGGAATAGAAGGGCTTGTTTGTGCAGTGAGTGAGTGCGCCCATAACCCCCTAGGCCAACGTGCCTGTAACTCTTCCTTAGGATCAACCGGGGATCTTCAATAAACCTTTAACACCCCCCCGCACTGGGATGCCCGAGGTGCACGCACCAGGATTCGAGCCCGAGACTTTTGCTCTAATACCATGATGGAATCCGAGCCACTAGACTACTGGGGTAAAAGGACTTGTTTGTGTAACGGGTGAGTACCCACACAACCCCCAAGGCCGACGTGACTGTAACCTTTTCCTAGGATTAATCGAGGATTTCTAGTGGACCTCTGACATATGCGGCCCGGATGCTTGCTCTGCCTGGAGTAGGGGGAGCAGCAGGCAGGAGGACAAAGTATAGGACTGGACTGGACATTTGTGCACAAGCAAACACATGGGATGATGTTGTTCGTGCACACACACACACTCCCCTCTCCCTGTAGCTGCGCATGTGCATGCGCCAGTCTCGCGCGCGCGCACACATGCCCAAACCACACTTCCCACCTCACCTGTAGCTGTGCATGAGCCCCACGGTCTGCCAGTCAAAGTAGGGACCGCACTCCACGGAAAATAGGGTAACCATGCGCGGATGCTTCGCGGTTTCAAGAGGATTCTCCTTGAACCTCCACGCCTCCGCCAACACTCGAACGCCATTGGACCGTGATAGTAACGAAAGGGGATCTAATCCAGTGAACGACGCGAATTCAGAGGTGGTTCGTGGGGCTGAAAAGTCTGATTGTAGAGGGGGCGAGGATGATATAACGGAGATAATTATAGCGAGGGATGTGAGTCGCGAGAGTGCTGATCTGGCAGTAGTCACCAGAGGGGAGGAAGAGGTGGAGACGCGCTGGGTGGGGAATGTGCGGCGCGAGAAGCAGTGGCGAGAGATAGCAGTAGAGGTGGATGTTGCGGGGAATCTACGCGACATGGCGACGAGACGTGCGGCTGGCGCCATATTCAAAGACACGGCTCAGAACTGAGGCATGATGCAGCTACGGAGACTACGAAGACCGGGAGACCGAGAGGTGGCCTGCTTCTAAGACGCCTCAAAGTCTGCTGGCGCCGACTTCTGGGACACGGCTCAGAATTGCACGGGAGATTCTGGACGTGGAGTTCTGGGTAACTTGAACTGCCGGACGACTTGCAGAAAGTGACCGTGCGGATTTCCTGTGTGGAAATTCCCAGAGGCCCTACTCACATTGCGTCCTGAAGAATCTAGCCGTGGAATCTGAATTGGAGATGAAAGCTAAGTTAAAAAACGGGGCCGCTTTCAACCCGTCATGTTGTGAGCTTCCTGATGAACGCTCAACACGCAGAGTACAGGAATTACACGATGAGCCGGCGATCGCGTTGAGACTGAGGAAAGGTGATACGACCAGGCAGCAGGAGCCAGTAAAAGCTGGAGCCTGGAAAACCAGGCGGGCGAGCTTGTCAACGTCGCGGGACGAGAATGGGCCGACACCAAAAGATGGTGAGAGTGATTCCAGATGAAAGGGAAAACGCCGAAAATACCTCAGCGGACAAGCACTGGAGTGCGATGGCTGAAAGGGATGGATCACTAGAGGTTTTAGGGAGTGTTCAAAATGTGGAATTCGGACGGCAGAGAGACCCTTCGACACTTTCGTGTCAATAACTTTTTCCTGCTGGAGGGCTTTATGGGCCTAAAAAATCTACAAGCGCTGTGATTTGGGGGCGAAACCCGGATCCCATCAGGCACGAACTTTTTGGAAAACTGGCTCTTGGAAACCGACATCACTGACCAGAGCTCGGTCTGCCGAAAGCGTCGAGATTGTGAAAGTGTACTTAGATCATCTTGCAAAGGCAGCGTTATCATTTCATATGGGCAAAGGCAGCGTTATCATTTCATATGGGGTTCTAGTACATCGTTCTCGTCCTATATAGGTCTACGTAACAGCATACACAAATGGGTGGGCGGGTGGGAAATTAGAACTACAAACTGAGAAATGAAAACGTGGGTGGGGACGAATGTCCCCACGTCCCTCTTTTGTAGGCAAAAGAGGGCGAGTAGCGCTTCGGCGCTACCTTTGCTGTGCTGGCCACGTACCCCTTTTCACAATACAAAATTTTAGAAAGTGTTACATTTCATTACACTTTCAAAAATTATCATATTGTGAAAGTGTACTTAGATCATCTTGCAAAGGCAGCGTTATCATTTCATATGGGTCTTCTGAGGCAAGTGCAGTCGGGGCTGGCGGTGTCGTTCGATTGATAGCTGATGCGTGGCGGGTGAGGGAGCCTTCGAAGGATCCTGCAACTGCGTGGAGAGGGAGATGAGCTGATCTTGCGCTATTGTAACGTACATCTCCTTTGCACTGTCACTGCGCCATCGGCCCATGCGTTTCCAGTCAGGAACTCCGAGGCTTGCCGCCGCCGTGGCTGCACCTTTGCGGAATGAGTGGGTTCCAATGTGCGCGACATCCAGTCCAGCCTGCCTGCCGGCCGCGAGACACCAGTTTCTGATCGTGACGTAGGATGGCGATTGGTCGCTCGGTGTAGCTTGGGAGTGCTTTGGGAAAACCCTTATCAGCGGTCCATGAGGCACCTTTGTGAGACCTGCGATGCGTATGAATTTGCGTGTGCACCGCACCGGGCAGTATGGGCCTGAAATTGCCGCCACGGGGATCCAGACACCCCTCCCTTCCTGGTCCGTCTTGGAATGCGGGATGAGCAGCCACTTTACCTTCTCCTCGAACTGTACATCATTCCATTGGAGCGATACGAGGTCAGAGTAGCGCAAGAATGCTGAAAACATGAGAAGAGGGATCAATCCTTTCTGAAATTCCGCAGGAATCGATGATTCGAGGAAGGGACGGGCCATTTCGTGTACTTGATGGAGAGATATAGGTTCTTTGGTCCTGGCAGGCCGAGGGCCATGTCGCTTGGCGAACTCTCGCACTTGCAGGGTGAATGGTCCCACCGTGGGGGAGGTTTCGCCTGTCATGCGGTGGGCGAAGGCTACTGCCGAACACGTGAGGTTGATCGCAGAGAGAGTTGCCTTGTTGTTGAGCGCATGGATGAGATACAGCGCTAGCGTCAGGTCGGTTGCCGGTAGGAAGTCGAGCTTAACTTGGGTACAGAAGGTGCGAAATCTCTGCCAATAAGGTTGGTACGTCTCGATTGTAGATGGTGCGCGAACATGGCTAATTACTGTTAAACTGCATTATGCTTGTAGGCTGTAGTGGGGTAGCCAATATGGGGTACAACCCCAACTAGGGTTTGCTACTTGTACCCAACTGTTTCATTCAATGCATCATTCTTGCCTAGTTCTTCTGACATGGTATTCAGAGCAGGAGGTCCCTAGGACCTACCGACCGTTTTTTTTTTAAGGGCCCACCACCGCTCGCATGCGGTTACCACGCTACCCCGTGCCCTAGCCTCGTAGCGCCCTCGTTAGCGCCCTCGCGCGCCCCTCGTTAGCGCCCTCGCGCGCCCCTTCGTTAGCGCCCTCGCGCGCCCCTCGTTAGCGCCCTCGCGCGCACCCTCGTTAGCGCCCTCGCGCGCCCCTTCGTTAGCGCCCTCGCGCGCCCCTTCGTTAGCGCCCTCGCGCGCCCCTTGCTAGCGCCCTCGCGCGCCCCTCACTAGCGCCCTCGCGCGCCCCTCGCCGAGCCGCCCGCTCGCAGCCCGCCCGCCCGCTCGCTGCCCACTTCGCGGCCCGCTCGCTACGCAGCCCGCCCGCCCGCTCGCTGCCCGCTTCGCGGCCCGCTCGCTACGCAGCCCGCCCGCCCGCTCGCTGCCCGCTTCGCGGCCCGCCCGCTTCGCAGCCCGCTCGCTCGCTGCCCGCTTCGCGGCCCGCCCACTTCGCAGCCCGCCCGCCCGCTCGCTGCCCGCTTCGCGGCCCGCCCGCCTCGCAGCCCGCTCGCCCCGCTGCCCGCTTCGCGGCCCGCCCACTTCGCAGCCCGCCCGCCCGCTAGCTGCCCACTTCGCGGCCCGCCCGCATCGCAGCCCGCTCGCCCCGCTGCCCGCTTCGCAGCCCGCCCGCCCGCCCGCTGCCCGCTTCGCGGCCCGCCCGCCTCGCAGCGTCGCCCGCCCGCCGTGCTGCCCACTTGCAGCGCCGCCTGCCCGCCGCGCTGCCCGCTTCCCGGCCCGTCCGCCGAGCTGCCCGCTCGCAGCGTCGCCCTCCCGTCGCGCTGACCGCTTGCAGCGCCGCCTGCCCGTAGCGCCAGCCTCGCCCGCTGCTCTCTATCCGTGCACAGTCGCCTTCCCCTGCTGCGGCAGCTTGCGTTACTCTGTCACACTGTCGCTATGGCTTCCATCCGCGTACTGTCGTTCGATGCTGAGGGCCGCCCTGTGCGGTTCACCGCTTGGCTAGATGACCTGCAGCTGTTCCTCCTGAGCGATAGCAAGGAGCATGTGTCGCTCTATGATTACGCGTCTGGTGCTGCGCCTGCCCCTCCTGCCACAGCTGAGCTTAGTGTTCGTTCCCACTGGCAGACTCGTGACGCAGCTGCTCGCCTAGCCATTCGCAGTCACCTGCCGTTAGCTGAGCTAGAGCATTTTGGCGACTGCAAATCCGCTAAGGCCCTGTACGACGCTGTCGTCGCTCGCTACTCCTCGCCTGCCACAGCCGAGCTTAGCCGCCTCATGCTGCCGTACCTGTTCCCTGAGCTGTCCACCTTTACTACAGTTGCCGATCTTATCACCCACCTTCGCACTAGTGATGCTCGCCTGCGTGCCGCCCTTCCCACCGAGTTCTGCGCTAAGAACCCCCCTCCCCTGTACTGGACACTCCACTTCATAGTCACCCGTCTCCCTGACACCCTCAGCTCAGTTCGAGACCACTTCCTTGCTCGCTGTCCCACTGAGCTCACAGTCGCCCTCCTAGAGGAGCAGCTGCTAGCGGCCGAAAAGAGCATTGTAGCTGTCGGTGCTGCTCGTGGCGCTCCTCGCACCCCCATCTTTGAGGGGTGTTCTCCCTCTCCCCTCGCTCCCTCCTACGCTACTGCTGCTGCTGTTGACTTCCTTGGTGCTGAGTCTGCTGGCGCTGCTTCTGCTCCTGGTGGGAGGCGCCGCACCGGCAAGGGCAAGGGGGGCAAGGGTGGCGGGGGTGGCGCTGGGGGGGGAGGAGGTGGGGGAGGTGGGGGAGGAGGCGGTGCTGGAGGGAGCGGTGGCGGGAGTGCTGGTGGGAGTGGGGTCGGCAGCGGAGGCGGGGGCGGCGGAGGGAGCGGTGGCGGTGGCGGCGGCGGCGGCGGTGGCGGCGGCGGCGGCAGTGGCGGTGGCGGCGGTGGCGGTCGGAGCGGTGGTAGTGGTGGCGGCGGAGGTCGGAGTGGAGGCACTGGCTCGGGCCAGAGCTCCCAGCAGCAGCAGCGTCCCCAGACGACCCAGCAACTTCGTGAGTGGCTTGCTCAGCGTGGGACGTCGGGGGGCAGTGGCCGCTGTTCCTATGTCATTCGCACAGGTGACCGCAAGGGACAGACGTGTGGGAGGTTCCACACCCAGTACCGCTGCTTCTCCCGCCTTGACGACGCTTGGCGTGAGGAGATGGGTGCGGATGTTGAGCGCCCCCGCTGGGCTGAGCTCATGAGGGCTGGTGTTGATGTCTTTGCTCTTGACTATGATGCTATTATTGCTGCCATGTATGCATTGCCGAGGGAGACTGTTACTTGTGTGTGCCGCCTGACCCAGGTATAGAGCCTGCTGCCCTGGGTACTAGTGAGTCTGCTCTCTCTGGTATGGTGCCCCCTGTACCTGCTCCCCCCAGTGCTGTCCCGGCTGGTTTCGAGTCTGCTCTCTCAGGTACAGCACCCACACAGACTCCTCTCTCAGGTACCGCACCGGCTGAGGCCTGTCACACCTTCACCCTTGACTCAGGTGCTTCCCGTTGCTTCTTTCGTGACAGTACTGAGCTCACACCGCTTCCTGCACCGGTCCCAGTCTCCTTGGCTGACCCCTCTGGGGGCCCAGTCCTTG